CCCCCCCCGCCTCCGCCAGGCCACCCGCCCAAAATAGAAAAGGAAAGGAAGTTATTTCCATCGTCTGCGGCAGCCCGGAAAAGCTCCCCTCCAGTGAGGGGGCGGGCGGGATTCCTGGAGCTGGAGACCAAATCAAAGCCAGGCCCGAGAGCCAGCGAGCGTGGCCCCCACCGCCCCCGGCCCTCGGCTGCCTTCTGTGTGTGTCATTTCCCTGATTCAGCAGAACACGTGTCCTGTGGTTGCCACGCTGCAGGCTACCCAGGAGCTGCGGGGAGCTCCTAGCCGGGCCCCAGGCTGCCCTCAGGCCCGGGAAGGCAGGGCGGCAGCCTAGGGGCCAGGTAGGGTGCGCGCCACCGCCTCTCTTCCTCCCCGCCTCGCCCTTGGCGGAGGCCTCGCCGTTGGCCTCTGCCGCGACAGACTCCTGCAGGCACCCTGCCTGGGAAGGGCAGCGCTTGAGCGCCCCTTGGAACAGAACCCTCCCACCCCCGCACCTCAGAGTGTCTTCAGAATGCCATCAGGACAGCCCCATGAGGGGCTCCCCCCAACTTTGGCAGAGAGGCAGCAGTTTCTAGATGAGGAAACTGAGCCCCAGAGGGGAGTAGGATCTCCCCCAGGACCACCCTGCTGGCTGGTGGCTGAGCCAGAACTGGAGCCTGGATCTGCTCTATTCTCTCCAGAGGTCCTGGCGTCCCCATGGCCCCCCACCCCAGCAACCAGCATTCGGGCAGGCTGGGCTGTTGGTCACTTATGTGACTATTAATTTGGAGCACACCTGTTACTCAGCAGCCGTGAGCTCACTGTGGTGGGTGCTGGGATATAAGGACGAAAGGGTATGACCCCTGCTGTCTTTAGAGGACATTCATGAACATCGACATGTAAATCCAGAGAGCCCAATGTGAGCGCCATGAGCACCATGAACAGAGAGGGCTCTAGGCCTCGAGACCTTGAGGGCACTGAGTGATTGGAGAGTGATGACCATCTGGTGCAGCAGGAGCCCAGGCCCGGGGCCAGAGGCTGGGGGTTAGCCAGGCCTGATTGAGAAGATGAGTTAGAGCCTGGGCCTTTGTCCTGGAGACAGTGGAGGCCATGGGAACCTTCAGAGCAGAGCAGCATTCTGAGCAGGATCCTGGTGTGATGGGCAGGGACACCTGTGTTTGGGCCTGACTGTTCCCTCTTCATTGTCACCTCTCAACCCCCAGCATCGACGTGCTGGGCTCTGGACCCACTTTGAGCCAGAGGCGCTATCGGAACTGGAACCCACCACTGCTGGGCAACCTCCCCGATGACTTTCTCCGCATCCTGCCCCAGCAGCTGGATAGCATACAGGTAACGGGGGATGCCCCCACCCGCTGGTGCAGCGTCTGCTTGCCCACATGGTTTGTGTCAGCCAGTTTCACTTCCTGATGGTTCAGCTCAGGCTGAGCTATTTCTGTTGCCCTGGGTTTGTAGAGAAAGAATACTGAGCCAAAAGGCCCATTCTGTCTGAGTCTGGAGGTTTCCTGTTCCACCCAGGGGAGGTGACAGTCCTGAAGGACTCTCTGGCTGCAACCATCACCCTAGGCTGGAGGGAGGTGGGCATGGGGCTAGCCAACGGCACAAGGCCAGAGCACCTTCCTTCCCTGCCTTGGTAAAGGGCCAGTGGCAGCTTCTCTCCAGATGCTGGCCTGTCCCAAGGGGCCCGTGTGGTGGGGGGCAGGGGGGGTCTCACCCTGAGACAGCTGGTACAGTTTTGAGTTTGGGAATCCATGGGTTAGCTGTTGAGCAGTTTGCAGATCACTTTTCAGCACTGTTCAGGTTGTAGATGAAGTGATAGCATGGTCCCAGGGGCGGGAAAAAAAGTTTTTAAACCTTTGCTGCTTCCCCAGCTGAGAGGCCTCTGGCCTGTTCAGTTGGATTTTGGCTGATGACCAGCTCCTGCTATGGGAGGGGCAGGCCCCGGGGTGCGGCTGGAGGATCCTGGGAAGGGACATGTACACCCAGGTGTGCATGGATGTTTGTGACACGTGCCCTTGTGGGTAGCCATTCAACTGCTTGTTCCCCTCCTCAGGGTAACCCCGGGGGCTCCAAGCCCGTGAGCAGAGAGGGAGGCCTGCCCCCCACACCCGGGCCCGGGCCCGGTGACCAGGAGAGCCGCTGGAAGCAGTACCTGGAGGATGAGAGGATCGCGCTCTTCCTGCAGAATGAGGAGTTCATGAAGGAGCTGCAACGTAACCGCGACTTCCTCCTCGCCCTGGAGAGAGGTGGTGCACCGGGTGGGGGCGTTGCGGCCACTTCTTGTGGCTGAAGAAGGGAGCTTGTGTTGGCTTTAGCTTGGGGCTCAGCTTAGAAGGGACACTGAGCTTCTCCTGTTGAGACACGGCCCCCACCAAGTTATCCTGGTGGGAACCCCAGAATTCCGCCAACGGGGACCCGAGTCACCAGCCACCCCTTCTACTTACCCTGGGACTCAGAGGAGAAGGGGCGTGTCCCCTTAGGCTCTCTCCTTCCCCCTGCACATCACGTCTGCTCTGTGCCAGGCGCTGGCCTCGGTATGACGTGTCTGGAGCTCCAGGAACAGAGTGACTGCATCCGGGGGTTCAAGCAGACATTGGAGCAGGGGCTCTTGAGTTTTTTGGGACTAGAGACCCTGCTATCCAGCCTGGCTGCCTTTCCGCTTCAGGGTGGGAGTGTGTTCGGGGTGCGGTACAGCGAGAGAGCTGTGGGGGGTCTGTCTTGTGAGGGTCACAGTGTGAGTGTGTATATTTGTGTGTGTGTGTGACTGACAGCGTGTGGTGGGGGAGGAGCGAGGTATGCCCAGAGAAGTCTGGCCCCAGCTCTGCAGCTAAGGTGCTGGGGGTCTTGGGGCCTTTCCTTTTATTTTTTATTTTATTTTATTTTTGTGAGGAAGATTAGCCCTGAGCTAACATCTGATGCCAATCCTCCTCTTTTGGCTGAGGAAGACTGGCCCTGGGCTAACATCCGCACCCATCTTCCTCTACTTTATATGGGACACCGCTACAGAATGGCTTGACAAGCGGTGCGTCGGTGCGCGCCCGGGGTCTGAAGCTGCGAACCCTCAGGCTGCCCAAGCAGAGCACGCGCATTTAACTGCTATGCCACCCAACCGGCCCCAGGGCCTTTCCTTTTAAATGAAGGGCTGGACTCTAGGATCTCTCAGGGTCCTTCTAACTCGGACATTCCGACATTTCAGGGCTGATCAGCACTAGTTTCTAGGACATCGCTGGTTCTTTGAGGGCCGGTAGATGTGTGTGCAAAAATTTTGTGTGTGCTCGTGTGCGATTCTAGGGGTTTGACCTCCAACACCCTCCTGTGTCTCAGCCCAGGAGCTAACTTCCCTGCCTGGAATGTGATCCTTTTCCAGATCGATTGAAATATGAGTCCCAGAAATCCAAATCCAGCAGCGCGGCTGTGGGCAACGACTTGAGCTTTCCCTCTCCTGCTCCAGGTAACCATGCCTTCCTGGGAGAGAGGCCAGGAGGGCGTCGGGGGCCCACACCTGGCTGTGCTCTGCATATTTGGAGTTTGGGGGTAGGTTGAGGAAATAGGCTGGAGAGGAGGTTCTGCCCTCATCCCCCACTCACCCCAGAGTGAGATGGCCTCTCCACTTGGCAGCCCTGGGTTCTTACTAACTCAGCCACTGCTGGAGCCCACAGCTGGGACTGGCTAAGAGACTGCTGACTCCTCAGAGGTGACTGGAGCCTGGGCAAGAAGGGGCCACATCACACCACATAGTGTCCCATGGGTTGGGAGGGACTGGGAGACTTACAAGGCTTGGTCTCTGCCCTGGGGAGCTTAGGGTCTTGTGGGGAATGCAGGAGCTACGTCCAAGAAACGGGTAGAGCAAACCAGCAAAGCTGAGGACACGCTTGTTGATGATGTCAAGCACAGGCGAGGAGAAGGGCAGGACCAGTCTGGGAAGGGTTCACGCATTCATTCATTCGGTAGCTGGGGAATGTCTGCCATGGGCCAGGCCCTGCCCTAGTGTTGGAGGAACAGAATTTTGAGCTTCATGTACAAGATGGTGAGAAGCAAGAATTGCCGCAGGACAGGGCAAGGGGTGGACAGCAGGCTACTGGGATGCACAGATGAGAGTGGAGCTGCAGCTGGGAACGTGGGGCCGAGGCCCAGAAGGCCCCAGTTTCACACTCACCATCTGGACTCTGCCTACATGTGTGCATAGTGGCCCCTAGTCAGCCAGCGCCCTCCACACACACGCACAGGCCGCGTGTGTGAGAAAGAAGCAGCCCAAAACAGCCCTTAGATGTCTCAGTGGAGTAGGGGTGGGGGAACAGAAGGATGAGTTGCTCAGCTGATCCCAGCTCGAAGAGAGAAAATCCCGTGGAACTGATTCATAAGCAGCGGGCTGGGAGCCTAGGCCCCACCAGATGTGCGTCTGGGGTTTTAATGACAGCCTCTTGTCCTTGATCCTGAATTAACTGTAGACACCAGGGCTGCTGAGATGGATCAGCATGACTCACAGGGGACTTAGCAGGCAAGGTGACTCGGGATTAGCCGAGTTGCAGGGTGGAGAGCAGGGGCTTTAGAAGAGCGGAGAGAGACCCAAGTGGGTGCCAAGTGAGCGGGGAGACTGGGTGGCCAACGGGGTTCTGACTGGGGGACCAGCCCCATTCTCATTCCTACTCATTGGCTAACAAGGCAGAAACTTTTTGTCTCGGGGGAGTAGTGGAGGGGGCTGACCCTGGAAGGAAGGAGACAGAATCACCACGGGCAAGTGTCTGCTCTGCGCCCGCACTTTCCTTCCGTCTCCTCAGTAACTTTCACACCGTGTCGGGATGCAGGCAGGCCAGCCTCGTGCTGGTGAATGTTTAACAGCAGGTCGGGGTGCAGGGGAAGTCCCAGTGCTCAGTGTCTGGTTACTTCCGCGGCATAAATTCTCCCTCCACGGCTGATTTCAAGCCACCGACTTGACTTCATGGAACGGGGAGTTGGTCAGAGAAGCAGACAGTTGGGAGCCCCTGTGAGCTGTTCTCCGCACACACAGCAGACCAAAGGACCATAAGCGAGGCTCGGGTGGGGAGAGAAAATGCCCCTCGAACTCCAGCATCCTCCTTGCTTTAAGCTCCCTCCTGGTCAGGGAAGAAGCCTGCTCTTTGCTTCCTCCCTCAGATCGAAGGGTAGGGCTGAACCTCTGAGGCCTTGGGCAGCCACCTCCCTCTCTAGCTGGCCCTCAGAGGTGTCTCCCCCTTCCAGGAACTGGTGATGCCAACCCCGCTGTGTCTGAAGATGCCTTATTCAGGGACAAGTTGAAACACATGGGAAAATGTGAGTCCAGCCCATGTCCCCCTCCCCAACTCCTCTAAGACAGGCCCTGTGGCCTCATGGGAGGGAGGGAGCCGAATTTTTAATGCAGCTGACTCTTGGTGAACCGAAGTGACATTTTAACCGCAGGCTGGCTCCCTCGGCCTTCCTGCCTCACTTCCCTCTGCAGCTGAGTCTGGATACAAATTAAGTTTTAAATCCTCTTGAGCCAGCTGTCTGCAGAAAAATAATGTGCTGCCCCCATCCCCACAATTTAGCGTTCTCTATGGCTTGAGGGGGCTTGGCCAGGCCTGACCGAGCAGGGAGGCCTTCGCTAAGCCCACTTTCTGCGGGGGGAGGCCTGCAGGGTCCGGGACCTCGTTCCACAAAGTCCTGCCAGCCGGGATGGGACTTCCCATCCCCCTCCCCTCCCCACAGACACACAACCATGTGTGAATGAGGCTGCCATCCTTTCAGGCTCCATTTCAGGGAAAAATCTCAGACTAGTCTTGGAAATCCCAGAACGAACTCTGGAGGTAGCGAGGGGAGGGAAGAGGCGGCGGGAAAGAAAGCCAGGATGCGTCATTGTCTGTTGTAGCTGGATAGGAATACCCAGATCTCTGGCTGCTGGCCGTGGTCCCTGATCCGGCTCTCCGTGGCCTGTGCTGCCCCTGCAGGCCGACCCAGGATGGCAGTCTCACTCCCCCGGGGCAGCAGCCTGGCCCGCGTCCCCGATTCCTGCCACTTCCCCTGCTCCCTCGATTCCCATGCCAGGCTGCCAACCTGCCCCTACCCTGGGGGATGTCTTCCCCGGCCTCTCCTGGTGCTCTGGCTGCTGGCTCACAGGTCTCTGTGCCCCCAGCCACCCGGAGGAAGCTGTTTGAACTGGCCAGGGCCTTCTCGGAGAAGACCAAGATGAGGAAGTCAAAGAGGAAACACTTGTTGAAGCATCAGTCATATCCTTTCTAGCCTGGCACTGGGTGGGGCGGTGGGTACTAAGGGCACCAAGACCCTGGGCTGGGCTCCCTGAGGCTGCACCCTCCCCCAGGAGCGGGACTGGGCTCTGTGGCCCTCCCCTCTCCTCCGTGAGCCCCGCTGCCAGCCTGCCGCCCCATCTCTTGGTGCCAATCTCGCCCACCATGACCAGGCCTGGGGAGCAGGCCACTGTCTCCCGTCTTCCTTCTGTAGGCTCAGAAGTTGTCCTACAACTTTACTTTTTGTCTGGAGTAAACTGCATCTTGGGAGAAAACTTGGCTCTCCCATCAAAATCAGCAAGCCTTTCCCTAATTTCTCTAGTTGGATTGGTCCACAGATCTTTCCACCTCCTCATTTCAAGCATCTTGGCCCTGCCTTCTCACTTTCAGCTCCTCGAGTAAAAATAAGGTTTTCCACATTTTTATGCAGACTCCCATCCATGCTTGTCAAATAGGGCCCGGGATATTCGAAGCTGAACAGCCAAAGGAGAACAGGGAGAAAGTCACTTCTCTGTCCCCAGGATGGGAGTGGGGTGAGAAAGTGGGGCCTGGCTACTCAGCTGACCCCAAGAAAAAGCCTGGGGGAGGCACTGGGGAGGCTGGGGGATAAGGCTGGTATGCTGGAAGCCTCCTGAGCTTGGAGCAGGTGATGGAGGGCTAGGGGTGGGGAGTGGGAAGACTATGGCAGTGCCCACCCATCCCTGGACAGTTTTCCTGAATGGCCGGGCAGGCTGGGGGCTGCAGTGTCAACAGCCAATCTCCTGGACGACGTGGAGGGCCACACTTGTGGTAAGGCGGGGGAGTGGGAAGCTTGAGCTCTACGCTGCCTGTGATGGGTGCCGTCCATGAGGAGGGTCCTAGGTGTTTCATAGGTGGACCCAACTTGTTGGGGAGGGAGCACCTAATCTGGGGGACACATCAAGGGTTGGTGGGCAGGTGACCTAAAGAAATGGGTCCTCCCACTTGGTCCATATTGCCTCTCCCTTCCTTCCACGCCTGACAGTGGCCCCCAGCTGCACCTCCACTAGATCTCTACATGGAGCACAAAGTGCCAGGTGCTGTTTCTGGGGAATATTCTCTGGGATGTGAGGGGGCAGACAGGCCTACCCACATGGAGGGGCCTCACCTTGAGAACCAGGCGCTGGGCAGGTTCAGTCCTTCGGCCCAGAGGCCTGTCAGTGTTCATCCAGTCCCTCCCCAAGGCCACATGGGCCAGAAGAGGCTGCCTTGGGCCCTAGCAGGCCCACAGCCAAACCCCCATCCTCATGCCTCAGAGGAGGGGCCCTTTTGTGGTCAGGAGACATCCAGAAACAAGGGCTAGAAGGGCTTTGGAGGTCATCTGGATAGTCCAACTTCCCCATCCCATTTTATAAATGAGGAAACTGAGGGAAGAACTTGTCCAAAGTCTCAGAGCCCAGTGATGGAGCCGGGCCAGCACCCAGGTGTCCTGTCCCCCCACTGTGCCCTGCTGCTTCTCACAGACCCACCGGTCACCCCCAGGGCTCATCGTGTGCCCCAGCAAACAGAGGGGGTGGAGAGAGTTGGGTCAGCTCTCTTGCCCAGCCTGGAGGACATGCGGGAGTGAGGCCCTGAGGGTGGAGGATGAGGCGGCTTCTCTCTGCTTTTCAGATGAAGACTTCCGGGGAAGGCGACAGCAGGCGCCCAAGGTGGAGGAAGCCCTAAGAGAAGGACAGTAAAAGGTAAAGGCTGGAGCCACAGCTGCTTAGGGACTGCCCGAGGGCGGGCCTGCCATGCCCAACACCCCAGGAGTCTTCCCAGGGGTCCAGTAGTGTAGGGCTCAGGCAACTGGATAGTGCAGGCCCTGGGTTTCTTCCTTCGTGGTTGTGGCAGGGGACATGGGCTTCTGCATGGGAACTAGGCTTTTACATTTCTTTTACTTGATTATTTATTCATTTGACAAAAGATAATCACACTTGCCTATGCCAGATGCTGGGAATAGGGGAAAAAAAGTCCGCTTTGACCTTGAATAGTTTACAGCCCAGTTGAGAAGACAGTCCAGGACACACACAGCACACTAAGAGGACAGTTTAAGACAAACGGAGATGGCTTCACCCTGGCTGTGCACACACAACTCGCCCATTGCCCGCTTGGGTTGGGTGGTGCAGGATCTGCCACAGCCAGAGGAGGAACCGCCCCTCTCTCGTGGCAGCTCTGTTTCTGGCTGGAGCCCTGGGCCCCCATGCTGCTTTCCTCCTCTTCCCGTGCATCCTGGGGGAGAAAAAGGCAATGTCAGTACCTCCTCCAGGACTCAGTCCCACCTGTCCCTCTTCCAGCCCCTCCCCCCATCAGGAAGCTGCCTGCCTGCCCTCCCCCCAGCTGCTGTCCTGATCCCAGTGGTCAGCATCTACAAGGCTTTCTTGAGCTGAGGTGTGGCAGGTACGGCCCCGTTTCAGACAACGGAGAAATATTTGCTACCCTCAGGATAGTTGTAGTGGAGGTGAGCTAACCCAGGGTGCTGAGCACACAGCCAGGAACAATATAAGCGCCCTGTCCCCTCAGCCTGGGCGCTGGCCAGCACATCACCTCTGGTTGGCTCCCCACTGCATCCTCCACCAGGCACTTCCAGACCCCTTCTGTTCTCTCAGGCGTTTTTCTCCCGAGGAGCTACACCCACGCTTCTCACTTCTCCGGGATGCTCAAATAAAGCCAGCCGGGGAAAGGCTCCCATTCCCACTCAGTGTGGCTGCCATCTCCTTCCCACTGGTCCCCAAGGAAAATGTGTCTGGTCCAAGGCCACCCTTGGCTCGTCATTTATTTCTCTCCTGAGTCTCCCAGCTTTTCCTTTTCCAGCTCCTTCCTCAAATCTGCATCCTCCTCCTTCCCATCTTAAAAACCAAGTGTCATCGATATTTTCCTTCCACATCCAACTCGGGAAAAAGTGGCCTCTTCCTTCACCCACTGCAGGCTGGCAGCCCCACTCACCACCCCCAGATTGGCTCAAGAAAGGCACCTGCCAGAGCCAGGGCCTTTGACTGGCCTGCATCCTCTGCTGCTCTCTCCTGCACGCCACACCCATCGTCTTCTCTAAAACTGCCCTCCCTTGGCTCCTTGCGGCCCCAGGAATCCTGCGCCTTCCTTCTCTCTCTTTTTTCTCCTGTGCTTTCTGGCTCCCGACACGCCTCGAACTCCCCCAATCCCAGCTCTCCCGGCAGCTCTGCCCTGACCCTCTCTGAAGTCTTCTCACTCCCCACTCTCTCTAGCAGCGCCACTACCCTCTTTTACAGCATCGGCAATACTTCTGTGCAGTTGGCTCCAAAATGTGAATCGTCATCTCAGTCAGTCCCCCAAGTCGGCTCCGTGTCCCCAGCTGCACCCATGATTGTCTTTCTGGCCGTGGACGTCAACTCACTGAAAGCAGACAGTCCTCCTGACTCCCCCATTTCATTTCTCTTCCTTTTTCCTTCCATCACCGCCCTGGGAGACTCATCGCCTGGCTAACAGCCACCAGTCTCTTCACTGTCCCTACTCTGTTCAGCTCATCACCAAACGCCTTAGTTCCATTTCTCCCTTGCTCTCTGAATGGGCTTTGTGAGTAAAGGCTTATGACCTCCTCAACTTGGTGTGGGGGACCCACCAAATTCTGACCCCAGTTTACTTTTCTGCCCCTACAGATGCCCTTGGTCCAGCTCATCTGAGCTACTACTGTATCAGAATGGACCCCGCAGTGCCCCACCCCTCACCCCTTCCCATACAGCTGCTTCCACCCGGAATTCCAGCCTCCCCACTCCATCTCTAGCTGCCAGAGTCCCTACTGTTCTGCAAGTTGGAACATTTCTAGGAGCTTGGATTGGGGGGAGGTGACCCCAGGCAGAGTGCCAAGGCTGATGTAGAGTCCTTGGAGGAAGGAAAGGGCTCCTTTCTTTGGTAGCTTCTGCCTGAAACCCTCTCTCCAGGAACCAGTGATGAGGAAGGACCACGGGGCTCCATTGAAAAAGACTTCTATCCCTTTTCCCTACCAGATGCCAGCAGTTCCTCCACGCTGGAGATGATCCAACCCGGTGGAGGCAGCCGGAGAGCAAACCCGGCCCCCGGCTGAAGAGCCCAGCTGCAGCCGGACAGGTGGTGCTTGAGTCCCGAGGCCCAGTGATTCTCGGGCCACAGTCCAGCCCAGCCACTGCCACTGCCACTTTCCATGGGACTTGGAACTTCGGAGTTGCGTGCTGTGATTGGATGAAGGACCTGGGGGTGGCAGCCATCTATAGCCCCTTTTGTAGCCAGGCTGTTCTATGGGCAAAGAGGGGAAATGCAGGATCCAACCCCCCTTCTTAAAAAAAAAAAAAATCCCAGAAAACAGGCAAAAATTGGAGTGCCCGAAAGGGCAGGATGACCCTACCAGAGGCTCTTTGGCCTGAAGGTGGAGCCCCTGCCCTCCCCCATCTCTCCTGCTGAGCCACAGACACTGCCTGATCCCCTACCCTTACCCCAGCACCCTTCTGGGCACCTTGGGCCCTTTATTCCCATGGCCTCCTGCATCTCAGCCTTTCCCAGGGCTCCTAACCCTGAGCACAACCCCTGCACAGAGCTCTTGGTGGGAGAGCCCTGGGCAGTCACTTGGGCCCCCTCTGAGGAGTGATGGGCCACTGCAGAGAGGTATCTGCTGACTGCTCTGCCTGGGCCCCTTGGGCTGCCTCTGTTAGGGGCTGGCTAGGGCCCACAGCAGGGATGGGGAGGGTGGCCACCCCGGAGCTGGCCGACTCTGGCTAGGCAGAGGTAGTCTTTACTTCGGCAGAAGACAAAAGCCAGTTCTGGATGGGACCTTACAGTTACGCAACAGTGAGGGCTCACAGGGGCTCTGACCCCACCCCCCCAGCTGGACTAGAAGGTCTTCTGTAGCTAAGGGTGGGCAGCAGCAGGTTCTGAAGTGACCCTTGAGAAGGTGCAGGACTGAGGAGCGGGTGGGAGGCCTGGGGCAGAAGGGCTTGCTGGGTGCCCCTGGCCAAGAGTAAGAAGGTGAAAGATCTGAGGAGAAAACCTCGGTTCTACGAACCTTACCCTACACCAACCACTGCCAACGAGAGGGAGGCTGCCCTAGTCTCTCTGGCCCCGCCCACGAGACCGGAACGCGCTGACCTCTCCTCTCCGGAGAACCGGGAAGCCTAGGCAGGCACGAGGCTTCAGGGCCCCCGGAGCGTGCAACCAGCCCAGCCCGACCTCCTGGGGTTGGGAGTGGGAGCCAAGCCTTGGCGGGGCCCCCGTGGCCGCAAGTCACCCCGAGATAAAGAGGGCGCAGCGGGCGCCTAGGGCCAGCGGCGGAGGCCAGACCGCGATCGCGCCTCGTTCCGCCCGCCCCGCTGGGTGCCGGATGAGGGCCCCGGGCCGACTCGGGCGGCCCAGCTGCCCCTGGCTCGGGAGAGGCGGGCGGGGCCGGGACGCGCCGCCGCCGCCGCGCGTGACCAAGTTTGGAAGCGCGCGCAGGGCCGGGGGCGCTGGCGCGGGGCCAGCCCTGCAGAGGCGGGGTCGCTGCCCTCCGCTGCTCCCCCTTGCCAGGCTGTGGCCCCCGACGAGCCCCCTGGCCGCCAGCCCGAGCTCCAGACGGGTCTGACCCCGAGGGGCCTCTGGGCTGCGGCCCTGACCCCTCCCCGCGCCAGGCCCGGGCGCATGGCGGGGAAGCCCCAGCCCGACGTCTGTGTGTGTTGCTTTGTTAGTTTTTTGTTTTTCCTCCTATGTGTGGGTTTTTTCTTGGAGCTGTTTCATAGGAATTCCTGTAATAAAGACTTGGTGTTCTCTTGGTGCTCTGATGTGGCCGGCGGCATGGGCTGGACCTCCCTCTTCTCTTCTCCCCCGCCCTGGGCAGGGTTTGGCCCCGGGAGCCCCGCCTCACACCCGAGGGCCACCTGCCTCGCCCGCCCGGTTAACCCGCAGCGTCTGTAAGGCCCCAAGGGCTCTGCCCTCTCCGCAGTGCACCCACGAGGTGACACCTGCCGCCCGCGCCGCCACCTCGCCGACCTGCTGGCTTTGCTCGGTGCTGTCGCCTTCCTGTTTGCCTTGGGAACGTAAACCGCTTGCTGATAGGCAAAGGAAACACCAACGGGAAAGCCAGGCTGTTGCGAAATCTCCAGCCGGTCGCCTCCCTAAATAAACAGACCGCTTCTGGAGTAACGGCCGCGCTGAAGGCTGCACGGATGTGCAAGCTCAGGCTTCAGAGGGCCCGCCAAGATCTTCCAGTTCAAACACCTCTAGCTTTCCCCTACTCCTTAGCTCAGCGGGACCACCTCCCACGCCAGGGAACTCTGCTGAAAGGGGAAGCTGGTGCCGTTTCCAGACAGGGCGGTTCTCAAGGTTAAAACGTTCTAATTTGTGTTGAGCCCAAAGGCCTCCTTGTGGCTTCCACCCACACATCTTGTTTCTGGGCTCTGGGTCACCCAGGACAAGGCCACCGCTCTTCTCCCTGATGCCGTGTTTGAGCTTAGTGCCCCCACTCTCCTTCAGGACAAACAACGCAGGTCCCTCCTGCTCTCCCTACAAGAAGCTCCCCCTCCGCACCACGATCTGGCCCCACCCCCAGTTAGACGGAGGTAGGCTTGTAAACCGGCATACCTGGGACAGCTGGTGATGCTCCAGACGTGCTGTTTGGACCTGGGCAAACCAAGATTATCCTCTAACCCCGCTCTGCGCATTCATTACTGATAGCTGTGTACCAGTGTAATCCGTGGAGCATAGCACCAGCCCCTGGGACCTTATTAGAAGTGCCAATTCTCAGCCCCACCCCAGACCTACAGAGTCAGAAACTCTGGGAGTGCAGCCCAGCAATCTGTGATTCTGATGTACACTGAAGTTTGGGAGCCACAGTACCAGGCCAATACCTAGTACTGACTGCACAGTAGAATTACCTGAGTAGCTTAAAAAAATTCCTGACGCTCAGGACCCCAGACCAATTAAATTAACAACCATAGGTTGGTTTCTTTGAAAGCTCCCCAGGTAATTCAAGTGTGCAATCAAGTTTGCAGGCCAGTGCACTAAGCAGTCTGTTAGGTGTTTCAAATTCGCCCAATTAATCTTGCCCAATAATGGCCTTTTACAGATGATGAAATGACTATTCAGAAAGATTAAGTGACTTATCCAAGATCACAGAGTTAGCAAGGTGTGAAGCCAGAAAACAGGGCTCCGAAACCTGTGTTCCACCCTCTACACCCCTGCTGCTTACAGTGTGCTCTATGGACCAGCAGCATTGGCATCACCTGCCAGCTTGTTAGAAATGCATGTTATCGGGCCCCACTCCAGATCTCCTGATTCGGAACCTGGGGTGTATATTAACCAGCCCTCCAGATGATTCTGATACATGCTCGCGTTTGAGAACCACAGTTCTACAACCTTGCTACTCACAGTTTGGTCTGTGGACCAGCAGCATCTGTATCATCCAGGAGCTTGTGAGAAACACAGAATTTCAGGCTCTGCCCCAGACCTACTGAGCCAGAACGTGCATTTTAACTAAATCCTCAGATGATGTGCATGCACAGTAAGGCTTAAGAAACACCAGTCTTGGGCCAGCCCCGTGGCTTAGTGGTTAAGTGCGCGTGCTCCGCTGCTGGCGGCCCGGGGTTCGGATCCTGGGCGCGCACCAACGCACCGCTTCTCAGGCCATGCTGAGGCCGCGTCCCACATACAGCAACCAGAAGGATGTGGAACTACGACATACAACTATCTACTGGGGCTTTGGGGGGAAAAATAAAGTTAAAAAAAATTACTTCCTTTAAAAAATAAAAATAAAAAAAGAAACACCAGTCTAGAACACTGGTTCTCAAACTTGCTGTACACTGGAATCATCTCTGATACTTAGGTCCCATTCCCAGAGGTTCTGGTTTGGGATTTAGCCTGAGAATCAGATTGTAAAACTGCTCAGGTGATTCTAATATGTAGCAAAGTTTGAGAACCATTCACTATTTTGCCTATTAGGGTAGATGAGACTGAAGGTGATTGTAACCAGAGAGCAGGAGGCGGGGAGAGAAGACCAAAAAAGCTGATCGGTCCAGTAGGAGTGCAGTAGATGAAGCCCCTGCTCCATGCTGAGTCCCTCCCTGTTGAACAGTGTATACAGGATCCAGGAGGGAGTCAGGTGGGGCCGGATGACTGCTCTAGCCATCTACCCTCACACACCATGCTCATCTGCAAATGCTGGGCTCATGGTGTCCACAAGGTGATACTCCCAGATTCATCTCCTGCAAAAAATGCTGAGCTGGGCTATGTGGAGTCTGGTCCAGCCAGTGCCCCTCCCCATTGTATGCTTTGGTGTCCCCAGAGCTCAGCCCCTACTTGAGAGGAGATCTTGGGTCTGGAGGACGCTGTACCCAGAAGAACTGGCCCAGCTATTACCACGTTGGGGTCTCCACTCTCCCTCTGTTCTCTTGAAGCACCTGGTAGGGGGTTGAGGTAGGAAGCAAGACAGGAGGAGAACTTGGTTTGCAGAAGGCAGAAGGCAGGCTAGGTTTGGGGTAATGACGATGATAGCTGATTATGAATGTTTACTATATGCCGGGCACTTTTCTGGGGTGCTTTACTTACGTTATTTTACCTAATCCCCACAACTATTACATGAAATCAGTATTATTACTCCTATTTCACACATCAGGAAACTGAGGCACAGAGCTGTTAAGGTCCTTACTCAACATGTCCCTCAGTAAGTGGGAGTACCTGGATTTGAACCCAGGCAGCAGAACGCCAGAGCTGGTGCCTAAACTCTCAGCTATAGGTTGGGATGGAGGGACAGGTGATAAGACCTAGAACTCCTGCAGAGTGCAATTTTTGGAGCACAGAAAGGCCCACCTACTTAAAAAACATCTCCATAGTGATGCGTGACCCAACAGTGTGCCTGGAACTCACCTGTTAGCGTTCTTTATCTGGTTTTAAAAATAATCTCTTAGTATTTCCATTAAATGGCAAATATGCTCTGGGGAGAGAAGCACATGAACTCCTTTTGCCCATTATCACAGCATAGATTAATTTGTTGGATTAGCTGGCTGGGCCAGCTGCAGGAAGATTTGGAAATTTCTGGACATGGTGGGGTGAGGGGGGGGCGGTTGTTGAAGGGGGCTGTGTAAATCTACTGCCACCTGGTGGTCATCTCTCAGAAGCGGCAGTCGCTGGCCACCGAGAGGCCACTGCCATTTTCCCAGAGCACCTGTTTGGCCTGAGGCCAAATTTATTCTGTTCACTTGGTCATATGTTTTGTAAAATTTGCAAAACAAAGACATTTTTGTACTTTTTTTCTTAAAAGGGCCACTAAGATTATATAAACTTCAGGCCCCACAAAACCAGCATTTACCCTGCCTGTCATTGCTAGAGAG